TTAAATCCCTTTGTTTATGAACCCTAGTCACACCTCCCTGCATGTGACTTGCACAGCCTTCCATAAACACTTCCTGTGAAGAGAGCCCTATTTAGGCTTTCTTTATTGCAAGTTCTGTTTAATTAAGATTTTGTTATCCCCTGCCATGTTAATGGCTTGCTAGACCCTGCAAGAGCCTCATGTATGTGAGTAAAGTTAAATTTAGAGCTTGAGATACAATTATTTAAGGTAAATTACATCTTTTTGAAAGTTTTTTTTTCATGCAGGATCTGTCAATCATAGCCAGGGGAGGTGTGGCTAGGGCTGCATAAACAGAAACAAAGTGATTTAACTCCTAAATGACAGTGAATTGAGCAGTGAAATTGCAGGGGAATGATCTATACACTAAAACTGCTTTATTTAGCTAAAGTAATTTAGGTGACTATAGTGTTCCTTTAAGTTTATCACAAAAATGTTACAAAAGATTGACCAGATTAAACAGGGAGGACTACTTATAATATATAGAGGAGAGAGACAGCGCTAATTAATTGACAGGCAGCAACCTTAAAAAGGGAAACCCTCCAGGCCCTTTTAAAACAAGACATTATACACAACAATAAAAAGGCAGCGCCAGTAGGAAAATAAAATAAAGTAACTCCAAGTAAAAAAGTCCAATGGAATAAATAAATAACTAAAAAATAAATAAAATAAAAGTTCAACTTAAGTGTCCTTGTGGATAGTCTTTATGGCAGGTAACGCAGCAATGAAATCTTCATAAGCTGTATAGGTTCCACTCATATAGAAGACAAAAAAGGAGAGAGAAGGACGACCAATAGTGCAGTATTGTATAATTTCAGAGGTGACGTGTGGAAAAATAATATAGGAGAACTCACATTTAATAGAGCTTATGTCCAGCTCTAGGATAGAAGCGCATGGGTGACTTCAATTGTGTCTTGGATCCCTATAAAGACAGAAACATTGTGGAGGGGAGAAAAATAAAAAATGGAGCTTCTTGGAGGTTACAAAATGCATTGAAGACATCAAAGACATTTGGCGCACGCTGCACTCTGATGAAATTGGTTTTACATGTTACTCTAAAGCATTCAATTCTCTGCAACGTTTCAATGCTTTATTTGATCAATTCTCCCTTTCCCCTGCTCTGGATTTTGCATTTATAAATAGAAAGAGAGGAGAGCAGAAGGCTCGTACCCGTACAGCACAATAAAATACAGCTCAAACCTAGCAATACCAAAAAGATATCTGAGACTTACTTTGAACCCTGGGCAATCATGTATGGATACCTAGATAAATTTAAACAGTAGGAGATGGGAGATGGGAGAGGGGGAGGAAGAGGGGGAAGATTACAATAAGACAATATTAGGCCACCTTTTGTGGCGGTCATTTCCTATCCTTTCTTCTCCGTTTTTTCCTTCACTCGCTGTTTTTTTACATTTTTTCCTAAATACAGTTATGAAAGATAAGCAGACTTTCTCTCTCTCTGGAATAAAGGAGCAAATAGTGTAACAGAGGAAGGGGGATCACAGGAGGGTGGGATAGAGGGAGACAGAAAGGGATAGAATTCTTTTCAGGGGTATCATTATATTATCAGGGAATAATAAAAGTAGAGATATAGTTACATTTAGAAGAAATAGTTTTGCATATAAGAGGGAGAAAATGGGGGGAAATAAAGAAATAAATAATGATAATGGTATCTATACCAACCCAGTGAGTGGTATGATCCCCGGACAAAATTCGAGACGATACCTATCTAATATAAAAAAATAAATTTAAAAAAAAACACAATAGGACAGGAAATAGCAATCAAATAAGGTCGGTGTGAAGCAGAGGTGCTGCCCTTTAGGAGAGAGTGAGAGGCAGGTATGTGAGGTAGAGGTTACTCTGGGAGGCCATAAGCTTTCCTAAAGAGATGGCTTTTAAGGCGCTTCTTAAACGATTTAAGACTAGGGGAGAGTCTGATGGCAGTAGGAAGGCTATTCCATAGGAAGGGAGCTGCCAGCAAGAAGGCCTGCAAGCGTGAGTTGGCCGTACAGGTGCGAGCAGGGGACAGGAGAAGGTCACGGGCAGAGTGGAGAGCCCGAGAGGGGGCATACCTATGGATCTGTGAAGAGATATAAAAGGGGGTCTAGAATTGTTCAATGCTTTATAGGTATGAGTTAGTACTTTGAATTGACTCCTATAGGATATAGGAAGCCAGTGGAAGGACTGACGGTGGGGTGAGGTGTGAAAGGACCGACTAGAGAGGAAAATCAGTCTAGCGGCAGCATTCATTACAGACTGTAGCGGGACGATACAGGTTTTGAGAAGACCAATTAAGAGGATTGTTACAATAATCCATGCAGGAAATTATTGGAGCATGGACAAGCTACTTAGTAGCTTTTTGCGTAAGAAAGGGGCGGATGCATGTTTTTAAGATGGAATTTACAGGATTTGGTAACATACTGGATGTGGTGCTCAAAGGTGAGGCCAGAATTAAGTATGACGCCAAGGCATCCGATACTGTTGGCGCTTGTCCTGTACACTTACTGTCCTGCATGGTAACAACACACACTTCATTCAAGACCTTCAAGGTTTGGCTGCACTACTGTGGTACTTGGCTCTACCACTGGACTTGCTTACCCAGAGGGAACACATCTTAGCCATCACACGCCTGGGGTCCAGCAAGAATCACCCAGTTTGTACTGCAACAGTCCACATCAGACTCATATGCTGCCATTACCACTTAAGCTCCTAATGAATCTATGGGGATTCACATGCCCTCCAGGCATTGTTTATTTTTTTATTTTATTCTATTTTGTACCTTTAACCCCTTCAGGACCGAGGATGGTTCAGGACCATCCTCTGCATTTTTGCGTTGCCGACCGAGGAAAACGGGTGGCTGGAGCAATCGGAGATCACTTACGTCGAAATCCCGTTATTACTATCTGCCTGGCATCCCAGGCAGATAGCAACAGCCAATTGCAGCGTGTGAGCGAGCCGCGATCGCTCACAATTGGCTGGTATCAAAGTGGGTGTTACAAACACTCACTTTGACACTGATCTCTGCTTCTCTCCCCTCTGTAGCGTTTTGTGAGGCGAGAGAGACAGAGATCGTGATATATTGTTGCAGCAGGTGTTCCAGAGAGTTTTAAAAAGTATCAGCAGTGAATAAAAATCCCCTTTTAACCCCTTCCCTGCCAGATCTGTTACAGACAGTGCATTTATATTGTCTGTATTTTTTTTATGCCCTTAAGGGTTAACTTTATTTTAAAAATCTGTGTCTTAGACTGTCTTAGTCTGTGTTAGACTGTCTTAGACTGTCTTAGTCTGTCTTAGTCTGTCTTAGTCAGTCAGTTTCCTTCCCCCAAATCTCCATTAGATTCTTCTAACAGGAGTTAGTTTAGGGATTACTGTTTTAGTCTGTTTTAGTCTGTTTTAGTAAAAAAAAAAAATATATATATATATATATATATATATATTAAAAAACAAAAATTGTGTTTAGTATTTTGTTAGTTTAGTCTGTTAGTGTGAAACATGCAGCGCATGTACAGCTTGGAGGAGGCATATGCCTTCTTGGCGTCAGACTCTGACGCCACTGACACTGCGTCCGATTTTGACCCAGGTCAGTTTAGCAACACGTCTAGTGACATGTCATCTGTGTGTGAGCCAGCTGCTAAAAGAAGCTGTGCTTCCCCTGCTACGCCGAATGTGGAGGAGGACTGGGTACCTCCACAGTCAGCTGAGCCCAACATCCCCCCTTTTAGTGCCAACGCAGGCATTAATGTGAATGTGGTTGACTTCTCCCCTATACAATATATGGAGTTATTTTTAGGGGATACCATCTGGGAGGAGATTGTTTCCCAGACTAATTTATACGCTAGCCAATTTACTGAGACCAATCCAGGTAGCTATACAGTCAGGGAGCATGCTTGGCATCCCACACATGTCCCTGAACTTAAAAAATTCTGGACTCTTACAATGCTCATGGGGATAATAAAGAAGCTATCAATCCGCTCTTACTGGAGCACCAACCCAATTTGTTTGACTCCTATATACTCCCAAACAATGCCTAGACCAAGATATGAGCTGCTGCTGAGATACTTACATTTTAACGACAATACCCTCTGTCACCCCAGAGATCATCCCCAATATGATAGGCTTCATAAAATACGCCCACTGGTAGACCATCTTCAGAACAGATTTTCTGAAGTTTATACTCCCCAACAAAATGTATCTATTGATGAATCCCTTATGAAATATAAAGGGAGATTAGGGTTCAAACAGTATATCCCCCCAAAAGCGGTCTAGGTATGGTATTAAAGTGTACAAACTGTGCGAGAGCGAAAGTGGCTACACATTTGCCTTTCGTGTATATGAGGGGAAAGATGGTCAACTGAACCCTCCTGGCTGTCCTGACTCTCTGGGAACAAGTGGGAAACTTGTTTGGGACCTACTGATCCCCTTGTTCAATAAGGGTTACCACCTTTATGTGGACAATTTTTACAGCAGTGTCCACTTGTTTAAAATTCTTTATTGTTTGCAGATAGTGATGTCCCGAATGGTTCCCCGAACATCATTGAGTAAACGTTGACCCTGTACCTCACAGTCAGCAGACACATTCCAGCCAATCAGCAGTAGACCCTCCCTCCCAGACCCTCCCATACATTTTACATTCATTGAGAAGCTGCATTCTTAGTGAGCTGTCCAGGAGGTGGGAGGGTCTGGGAGGGAGGGTCTGGGAGGGAGGGTCTGCTGCTGATTGGCTGGAATGTGTCTGCTGACTGTGAGGTACAGGGTCAAAGTGTACTCAATGATGAGTCTGCGGCGAACCGTTCGTGGCGAACCGTTCGCGAACCGTTCGGGACATCACTATTTGCAGACACTGGCCTGCGGCACTGTAAGAAGAAATGCCAAGGAATTCCCCAGACCTCTCATAGATGCCAAATTAAAAAAAGGTGAATGCAAAGCTCTGCGCAAAGCTGAACTGCTTGCGCTAAAATTTTAGGACAGGAAGGATGTTCACATGCTAACAACCATCCATAACGAAAGCATGTCAGACGTCACTGTCCGAGGAAGGGTGCAGACAAAACCTGTTTGCGTCAGGGCTTATAACAGGCACATGTGGGGGGGTGTTGATTTGGCTGATCAGCTGATGCAGCCATATCTTATCTTAAGAAAGACAAAAGCCTGGTATAAAAAGGTGGCTATCTACCTGTTGCAAGTAGCAACACATAATTAATTTTTACTCTTTAAAAAAATGAATCCAGGAAGAACCACCTTTCTCCAATTTCAGCTCAAGCTGATTTCCACAATAATTTATCGAGATGGTCAAGTTCCAACAACGGTGCCAGAGGAGTCCAGACATTTTATTTTTAAGATACCGCCAACTGCAAAAAAACAACAAATCCCCTGAAATGTTGCCGGGTCTGTTACAAAAAAGGGAAAAGGACAGACACCCCTTTGCACTGTTTTTTTTCTTTTGAAAGCAGCAAATTTTAGTTAGTCAGTTTCCTTACCCCAAATCTCCAGTTAGATTCTTTTTGCAGGAGTTAGTTTAGAGAATGCTGCTAAAGGTGCATTTGATACCTGCACATTTGGTTAAAAAAGTTTTATAGCAGTAACATATAACTGGCTGGCCAAAACCAGATGACGTGTGCATAAAAAGCAGAATTCCAAAATTACCACCATGCACGTTCTCTGAAATTTGTATAGCACAATGGTTGGGGGAAGGATGTGAAAACACCCCATATACAATACCCTGAAATGTCTACTTTATAAAAATATAAACTTTCATGATATTAACATTAACAGGGGGATGCAAAAATATGCCAAACTGAAAATAGGCCAAGTATACATATATATCAAGTTGAAAAACTGATATGTACAAGTCTCGATCGTGGCCTTTTAGCCCCCAAACAACCCGACAAGCCTATGCATGGGTGGTATCACTGTACTCAGGAGATATTTCTGAACACATATTGGGGTGTTGTTTGGCAGTGACACATAACACGATCTGTTAATTCATGCCTAAAATACAATGTGTGTGAAAAAAACACAAAAACAATTACTACCTAAAGGTTTGACAAAGTCTGGTGGTAGAATTAGTGCATGGAAAGTGTTAAAATACAATTTTTTGAAATACCCTAGGGTGTCTACTTTCCAAAAATATATGGTTTGGTGGGGGTAAAATACACTGGTCGGCCTTACAAATGTCCCAAATAGGACATGTGCGCAGGTTGACTACATGTCAAAATTCCAAGTTGGAAAATGGATATGCGCACCTGCCAAATGTGGCCTTTTAGCCCCCAAACAACTCGACAAGCCTATGCATGGGTGGTATCACTGTACTCGGGAGATGTTGCTGAACATAAATTAGTGTGTTTTTTGCAGCAACACATAACAGAATCTGTGAGTTTATACCTGAATTGCAATGTATGTGAAAAAAAAAAAAAAACTACCTATGCGAAGTTTGGCAAAGACTGGTGGTAAAATGGCTGCATAGAAAGTGTCAAAATATCCTTACATGAATACCCTGGGTTGTCTACTTTTAAAAAAAAAAAAATATATATATATATATATATATATATATATATATATATACATGTGGGGTGTTTTCCAGAGATTTATGACAGATAATAGTGTTACAATGTCACTATTGATAAATTTTAAAAATGTATGTTTTGAAACTGCAATATCCTACTTGTACTTATAGCCCTATAACTTGCAAAAAAAAAAGCAAAAAAGCATGTAAACACTGGGTATTTTTAAATTCAGGACAAAATTTCGAATCTATTTAGCAGTTTTTTTCATTAGCTTTTTTAGATGAGTAAAAGATTTTTCAAGTAAAAGTCAAAAAACATGTATTTTTCAATTTTGCATCATATTTTTAAATTTTTTTAAATTAAATGACATGAGATTATATAAATAATGGTATGTAAAGAAAGCCCTTTTTGTCCTGAAAAAAACAATATATAATTTGTATGGGAACAGTTAATGAGAGAGCGGAAAATTACAGCTAAACACAAACACCACAAAAGTGTAAAAATAGGCCTCGTCGCAAATGTACAACATCGCAAAAACAGTCCAGTCCTTAAGGGGTTAAACTGACCTAACTTTTAGTTTTATGTTGACCTTGTCAACTCAGTGCAGACCGTTCAGTCTAAATGCTTAACTATACACTCCCCACCCCAAGGTATTGCGTAAGCAGTGGGCCCAATGTCTGTACAGAGGGGCGTTAATAACTCTTGTGACTGTGGAGCTAACTTCACTACTTTGATACAAGAATTATAATTGGCCTACCGATTATGTTTTAATTTGTTTTTATTATTACTAATGTTTGTTTTTTATGGTTATTATAACCTTCTATTTGCTGTTTCAGCTTGAGTGCCAACTGTACACTTCCACATAGCATGGATGGGGCAATATGTTCAACAATGATGCCAACATTAACATAGCTTTGATTGAATCTTTAATTTAAAATGGAATTTAGGCCAGAGTATTATTTTGTTATACCAGACTGCAGCATTTGTATGTTTTTTTATGTATTGTATGTACTTCTGGTCTTCATGACGCATATGGTTCTTTGGATTGATGCAAAAAAACAACATTTTTTTTAAATTTAAAAAGGGAGATTGTTTTTAACAATGTATCCCTGACAGTTAAGAGGCGTACTGTTAAGATTATGACACTTCTCACAGGAACTTCTCACCCCACCCTTTCTGCTTATCTGCTACAGATATGCAGGCTGAATGTTGGTGCTTTTCGGATGTGGCTAATTTCCGACACTGTCACTAGACTCTACTTCCTATATTGGAAGGCTGTTCCACGCATCTCCCTCAATTTCTGTGGAACCATAAAATCATCAAGGGGTACAATGCTGCAACGGGTAGATACAGAGAATAGATTGTGGAAACACACCCTTGTTCCTGAAATCTACCTTTCCAACCATGTGCAAGATGTCCCTACTTTATCCCTTTTTAATAGATCCCAGCATTTTTACTGAATGGGCGCTCATTTATTTTGCTGAATCATGCTTTACAAAGCACTTTGGGGACTGGCATGTTATGCAGTTTCACACTAAGCCTAATTCAATTTTAAGATGTTATTCTACAGGCAAAAATTCCATATGTAACTTGGCAAGGTTTAAAGTAGAAGAAAGAAGGAATAGCTTTAGAATTGAAGTTGATACTGAAGGTTTGAGTGCAGAGTAATTGAAAAATATTCAATTTGTTATTTTAACGTGAGTGTATTTTTATATTTATTACCACCCTGTGTATTTCTCCTTCCTTTGGCTTACAATTGGCCAGATATGGGTATTTTTTGAAGTGTTAAAAGTCAAAAGTTCTTTAATTTATAATAATACACAGAACGTAGCACACTCCATTTCAAACGACTACTTGCAAGTTCTAAAACTTTATACAAGGGATATATTTACATAATATGATCACACATTGCATGTCCCTGTCACAATCGTCAATGTATCCTATTTCTGTCAGGCTCTACTTTTATGTAACTTAATGTCTGCTCTTTTGACATTAATTCATTCCACAGAACATCCATTCTCTTGGTGATTGAGTAAATAGGTCCATGTAATGAGGTGGCTGACAAGGAGGGGTGCAAAACTTTGAGTATTGGCTAATCCTCCTATATAACACATAGAACAGCAATTCACCACTTACCTGAACACAACTACATGGTACGGGGGCTGCTGGGGCCAATCCATACAACATACCAACCTTGACAAGCTAACTATGATACATGCTTGTGACGAATTGAACTTCGCCACTGGCTTTTGGAGAGGCCTGCTTGCCAGCCTCTTGCCCTGTGACTATGGCCCCTGGGGTGTATTGCCATTTAAAAACCCTATTTGGGCTTATGCGGTTTTAATACACTGTTTCTGCCCCTTTGGCTCCTATGGGAAAGGATCTGCACTTTTGAAATGGCACTTTAGATGCAGCCGAAGTGCCGAAGTAGTCGAAATAGCCATTTTAATTCAGTCGAACGCGTTCAGCGGTGTTTGGTCGTCGAGTTCATGGAACTAGAATTGGACACGCGGCGGCACGAACAGCGCTGAACTTTACCTTCTCCAGACTTCAACGCTTCGACTGGCACTTTAACATTGATGGTTTGCACGAACGGTTGCCGTTCGTCTATTTGAACTGAAGTTAACATTGGAAATAGACCAGCTGCACAGCCTAATTCTCTGGAACTATTTTGGGCATGAAAATGTGCGTGCAGTCAGTCAAATATGACATCCACAAAACTTTTGAACCCCTACTCTGATCTGGGTGATTTTGGGATATGTTGTTCACCCAGATCAGGGCTATTCAGGGATGTATAATTTGGGGTGTTTCTAGACTTTGGGTAAAAATTGATATTTTCTACTTGTGGATTCCATTAGCTAGCTTAATTATATCACAGGCAGAGGGGAGGGATTGCTGACTGTATGTGGGAGTGTTACTGTGTTAATTATTGTTCCCATTGGTTTGTGTCCCTTTTGTCCCTGTGTTCCATCAGGTTCAGGGGGTGTGCCTCTGGCCTGAAAATGTGTATAAAAGAAATACCTTTGTGCTCATTAAACCAGATCTTCTTACCCTCAACTCGCAGCCTCGTCTCGTGTTGTAGGGTACTGCTATCTCACACTGGGGATTGCTATACTTTGTATACTCCCTTGGGACACTGCTAACTCTTGTAAGAGCTCTCTTCAGCTATACAGCTATACTCTCCTGGAGAAGAGACCCAGCTATACACTCTTGGAGGAGAGACCCAGCTATACTCT